GAAGCGCTAAGAAATTCACATCAGCAGATAAATGTCTGCCGAGGGAGAGCCAGGAGAAGGAGTTAGTGGTCGGGTCAGGGGGTCAGGGGGTCAGGGGGTCAGGGGGTCAGAGGGTCAGAGGGTCAGGGGGCCAGAGGGTCAGGGGGTCAGGGGGTCAGGGGGTAAGAGGATAGCTGTGCTTTAGCTTCAGGTTGAGCTCTGATCTCCCGGAGACAGAGCAATTGGGAGATGGTGCCTCACGGGACTGGAGGACCCACGCGTTCACCGTTTCCTGCTGGTGGGTGGTGACGGCTTCTCAGGGTGGGGCTCCCACGGCCCTCACTGAGGAAGAGTGTGGTGAGCTGGCTGATGCTGGCGCTGGGCGGGAGGCTCCACTGCCCACCTGGCGGGGGGGCGGGGGGGGCGGGCAGCCGAGTCACCAGGTTGTGTGTGATCCCCTGCAATCGAAGTGATGAGTCCCACCAGAGCCCATGACCATGGCCTCCCTCCTCAGCATGGTCCCCGTGGGCAGTGCCATGCCCACCAGGAGGGGTTAGGTGACCTTTACACTCTCGGGCCACACTGGCTCTCAGGAGGGTCGAGGCCGGGAAGCAGTGAGCCAGCAGGCCTGCAGCCGGCCCTCTTCAGGGGCAGTAGTCCCGGCAGTGACCGCACAGTCCAGGGGCCCCGGGGGGCGGCTCAGGGGCGGGGCCTGGGCGCCGGTGGAGCAGCCCGGACCCTCCGGCCTAGAAGCTTCACTCTCCACAGGAGTCCGTGTCTCCCGTGACCGCTGCATGGCTGCCACTTCGAGGCTGCCCAGAGGGGCATTCACCCATAGTTCCCGCCAGTCCGGGGCCACCCTACCATCCAGGGGCCTCTTTTTGTTGTTGTTGTTAAATCATTGAGCACTGTTGCCTAGTAACAGAGGCTCCGTTTCATCTCATCAGGTCTCCATGACAACCAGTGTTACTAGAAGTTAGCCCAAGGTCAAATCTTTAGAGAAAGAGAAAGGGTTTTAGCTACTCTTCACCCAGGGACTGGACAGGGACCGGGAGAAACCACGGCTCCATCATCATTTTTCTCTTCCTTCCACTTAGATGCCACCTTCTTCAATGGGATGTTCAAAAATGTGGAGAGTGCGACCGAAATTTTTGGTAAGTTCAATCTGAAATGGCTTTTCACCCCTCTCCTCCCCGGCCCAGGTGTCAGAGCACACGTGTGTGGGGGGAATCTAAGGAAATGACCTTGGTCTCCGCCCTCGGGGCTCCCACAGTGGGACCAGGTGCTGAGCGGGGAGGTGGCACCTGTCTGGCGGGTGCCTCAGAGTAGCTTCAGGGGTCAGTCCTGACCCAGCCTGGCCAGGAGGCGAATGGTGGGCCCATTTCACAGGAGAGGAAACTGGGTCTAAGGAAGTTCAGTGACTTGTCCAAGGCCACACGGCTGGACGTCCTCCTTGGTCCAGAGCTGAGTCCCCTCCTCCCAAGTCATCTCATCTTCTCTCCCCAACTAATGAGACATGAGGCCTAAGAACTGCAAAGGGCATCTAGTCTTCCATTTATCAGTAACAGAGCTATCAATCAAGCAGCTGTCAATCATCCCAGTGGCTCCTCTCACTGATCACGAAATTACGAAAACATCAGATGATACCGTGGTGGACACGAGCCACCGATGCTGAGCTGCTGCTGGGTTAGCGCTGGGCATGCGGCTGCGCCTGCCTGTGCGTGTGACTGAGCACAGGCGCCCTGTACGTTGTTAAATAAGTTTATGTAAACACACACCCATCTTTCTTCTTTTGTCATGTTTTTATTTATTTTTAGAGAAGAAGGGAGAGGGAGAGATAGAAACATCATGATGAGAATCATTGATTGGCTGCTTCCTGCACACCCCCTACTGGGTGGGTATCAAGCCCGAAACCCAGGCATCTGCCCTGAGCGGGAATCGAACCTGCAACGTCCTGGTTCCTGGGTCGATGCTCAACCACTGAGCCACACCGGCTGGGCCACACAATCTTAGAGTGGCTTTTTCCATCCGCATAGTCATTTCTTCATGCTTTTTTCAATTTATCTTCTTTGTTGAGGGTGTTACATTTCTTCGTGTCTAGGATGAGGGCGTGTGGAAATGAAACACGGGAGGGCGATTCAGTGAGGTAGGAGGCAGCTGGAACAGTTGGGTGGAACTGGTCCTTATGGGCAGCTCTAGATGCTCCGCGCCTCCCCCCCCCCCCCCCGTCAGCTCCCTGGACATCAGTGCGGGGGGATCACCCCCATTAGCCCTTAACAGCCCTTGAGGCAGAAAGCCAGAATGGAGACAGGGTGGGCATGAGGTTTAAAGCCAAAGCACTGGACACCGTTTTCTTGCAAGTTTTGTTTGCAAAAGCATTTTTTAAAATATATATTTTTATTGATTTCCAAGAGGGGGAGGGAGAGATAGAAACATCAATCACATCAATGATGAGAGAGAGTCATTGATCAGCTGCCTCCCGCACGCCCCCCACTTGGGATCGAGCCCACAACCCAAGCCTCTAACAGACTTCCCTGACGTTGTCTGGGCCAGATCCGGGCTCCATGCTCAGCCCCAGCCCACCTGGGAAGCATGGGATGCCCACGACCAGCTGAGAGTGATCATGTGACCTTGCAGGGACCTAGGGAGAAGGCTGTTTGTTGGCAAGGAAGAAGGGCTAATGGCTGTGAGGTGGGCAACCAGCAGGGGCCCTGGCTTATCAACCTGCCTCGCTTTAACGGTCCCCCACAGTCCTGAGTCCACAGCAGGTGCTCAGTAGGTTGAGGAGACACTATCAGCTCAAGCTGCAGGGCGTCCAGGGGGCGAGGAGAGGGGGGCTCCTCCTGGCCGCTGCCTCCAGCACCCGCCCTGCTCTCCCTCCGCAGACTGCCTGGGCTCCCACTTCACCTGGCTGCAGGCCGTCTTCACCAGCTTCCCCGCGCTGCTGCAGTTCGTGGGTGGCCTGCGGTGCGTGGCTGGCCTCTGCCCCCGGGACCTGGAGGACTATGGCTGCGCCTGCCGGTTCGAGATGGAAGGGCTGCCCGTGGACGAGTCGGACAGGTGAGCAGGAGCCGGGAGCGGCGGCCTGGCTGGGCCTGGGCGGAGCGCACGCACAGAAAGCTCCCCGGACGGGGTCAGGCGGCGTCTTGGTTCTGTGACTTACCACGGGCGACTGCTTTCCTCATCTCTACGTTGCAGTTAATCTGTGATCTGCTCTCGTCCCAGGGAGTTCTCGAGAGCCTGTGTCAGGCCCGACAGGCAAACCTTTCCTCTCGTTTCTCATCGTGTGGGTCCACTGCACAGGCCACCCGGCTGCTCGCTCACAGGCAGCCCAGAGGCCCACCCACCCTGCCTATGGGAGAACCGGGAGCCTGGGCTTAACAAGCCGCCCT